TATTGCTTAGAAGAGAAGCCACGAACACTACAAGAAAAGTTGACAAGATTGCCACTAGCATTATTGTACAAAATGAGGTGGGTAAAGGCAATGTTCACCTTTAGCCGCTGATAAAGTTTTATCAACCTCATGTTGTACCACTAATATGTTAGCGGTTATTGACAACTTTTCTTGTAGTGTATTGACTAAACGATTTGATACAAGAGATATAAAGATCAATAATTTAAAGACTCTTAGATTAAGTCCAAAGCTTAAGCTGCTATTGGATTTAGTACAATTCATTTTCTTATCGATAGGTCCAATGGACCTTTTTTTCTGCCACATTTTCCCCTTAAGGATTTAGTCCAATTGGCCTGCAAAACTGGATTTATATCTAGTTTTCTCAACACCTTAATAGTAGAGTAGTTTTACGTACACATCAAATGTCCCCGTTGTGCCCACACTTCCTGCTTCACTCCAAACAAGGTCCCAATACCTTCAAATTTCCAAGTTTTAGTATAAGTAAAACTGTTCATACCTAATTTTGGTACTGTTTCAACATTGATCATAAACGAAGAAAGGAACTATAAGCAGTTACATGGTGAAGTATATATACCCTCTATTTACTTCTTCATTTAGAACTTCGAGCAAATTATCGATGCCACTATATCTTATTCCGGTAACAATTCCATCTGGTTTTGATAACGTGACTTGGAGTATGCCATTATCCATGACCACCTGTTTGCGAAAAAGGTTCAATACGATATATTACACAAATGACAATTTTTTTGGGGTCATCATACACTTTGTTTAGGTTAATTTAGACATAAAACCACAATTTGGTAATGCCAAAAAATGCTCATTGGAGTAAAAAGATAACGGAGATTTGCTCTAATTAAGCCTCTAACCTATGTGTGGTTGTACTTGCAATGTTTTTAGTGATACTGAGAGAGGAGAATCGAATTCAAGACCTCGAGCAAAATTATGTGAATGGGCATTAGGGTCAAAATTCAAGTGCTTCTGTTTTAATCTAACATTTGGCTAGTCCACTCAACAAATAAGGTTGATTCTGTAACCTTTTTATTTTTATCATGAGATTTGAACTCATTGCCACCTCTATCAAAATATAATCTGGAAGTTATGTTTCACTATGATGACCACAACCATATGGTAATCATGATTGCCTGATTGGCTAGCCAGTATTGTTTTGTCTGAAATTCCAACAATTTCGCAGTACACCCACACACTTGGTTTACCATGCATATTGTAACTTTCGTGAAATTTACGCAGAAAAAGGCCATAAAACAAAACCCAAATGACGAAGTGACGAGATCATCAAAACCAAATTAACATGAAATTAAGTAGCGCTCTGTCATGATTTGCCTCCTGTTAAACATCCTAAGACCAAAGATAGGATCCATTCACTTCGCTTAACGATCAAGCTAATCTTGAAATACATGCATATACTTTCATTAGGGTTCTATATATATAGCATGATGAAACTTACATAACGGTCTTGAATAATCAGTTGAACGCTCTGAGATGACATATAGTGAGGCTTCGATCGATCGATCTCTAGCTATAGCGATCTTACGAGCCGGCTCCTTTGGCAGAAAAAAATCTCAATGACAGTGTGGCGTTTGAGGTACTTCATGAATTGCATATATATAAAGAAGTTGTCTTTCTGCTGGTGCTGGGTTTTCTTCAACTTCAAAATACAGCGTTCTTTCTTTTACTTCTCTCTTGCGTGCGATTTGAAAAAGTGGATTATTCTATGATATGCAAAAAGCAAGAGGCCACACCAAACCCATCTGTCATGAACAATGTGTGCATATCTGTTCCTGCTTTAGGTTACAATTAACAGATATTATAAGGTTAACTTTGGACGTATAGATGGAATTGGATGATCTCAATGTGATGTTTTGCGAACCTCACCAAATATTCTTGCTGCCTTTAAAGTCTGAAGTCGTTGTCAACTGATTAAACTTTCTTATTCATATATTGTCGCTTGCACAAGGAAACACTGCATGGTGATTAATGTTTGGTGACTAGTTTAGTTTCATTCAAGTTCCAGTTTTTGTAAGGAAAATGAAAAGGGGAGGTAGAACTGGGAGGGAGAATGAAGCAAAAAAAAAATAGAACGTATGAAACCAAACTGTTTTCATAAGGTAAGAAACATTTCATTAATAATAAAAAATGATACTTGTATGACCTAGTTGTTTTATCATTTGTACCATCTTTCTAATAGAGATGAAACTCACATGCATTGACTGATCCTCAATCAAGAACGTCATAACAATAGTATCATGATTACACATACCAAAAGGAAAGGCAACGCTTATAAGGACAAAACTTTGATCATATTTTGATGAACTTGCAACAGACAATGCTCCATCGACAAAGAAGTCTTGCTAGCTATGAGGCATCAAAAAGATGTTCTTTTAGTCCTTTGCCAAGGGAAAAACAACAACATCACAAACTAAAAAAAAAAAAAAAACAACACAAAACAAACTCTGTGGAAGTACGATTTCTAAATCATGAAAGACCCACACGTAACCAACAAGAAAGATAAGCTCAAAAGGCATAAACTCTACAAGATGGGCCCAACATCATCAAATACACAAGGTAAACATCATACCATTCACCTGATGACCTTGAAACGATAAAAAAAACAAGCCTATGAATCAAAGCCACTACAACTGATGCCCACGAGGGAAAGATTGCACCACTTTTTGATGATTTTGAAATTGTTAAGAAAAGCCTCTTATTTCTTATGAGTCACTAAATCAGTCTAATATATGAAATGTTTGTAAAAATATCATCTTATGATTAACCTTTAGAACACACTTCCAACAAATGGCTTAAAACCATTTCAAGAGCTCTAAGTTGATGGGGCTTTCAATGGATCGTTGAAATTTGGTGGCGTTGGTGTTGTGTTTCGATACAAAGCCGTAGTCATAGGACTGTTTGTTTATATGGTCTCTCATATCACTAGTCCAAAGGCTACGAAGTTCATGTCATCAAGGGAGGGTGTGCATCTCGCTTTGGAGCATCATCAAAACCGCAAGCATCTGGAGAGTGATTCTTTTCAGCTAGTTCATGCGATTGGAAGCCCTCAAGAGGATTCTTCTTCTTTAGGTCTAGTTGTTTATAACATGAAGCATTAGCTTCACTCCTTCGATGATTCACATGTGTCCCATCCTTCTACCAATGTTGTGGCACATCATTTGGCCAAATTGGACTTGCTTTACAAAGTTGAATATCCTTTCGACAACCTCTATATATCATCTAGATGTACATTTTAAAGATACTAATTATCAAGTAATAAAATTGCTACTGTATTCTCCTATATAAAAAAGTATTGCTGCCTATAATAAAAACAAAAATTAATTACATATTTATTTATTTCCTATTTTTTTTTCACAACTGGATATGATGATGTTGTAGCGGTACATCAATGGAAGTTTTTGTTGTAACAACAATGAGTGTCAATGTCATTGAAGTCTTTCTCATAATAACTAACTGCAAAAAACTATTGTAGAGGTGTGTCTATGCCATGAAAGTACTTCTCATAATAACGGCTTTTATTATATGCCCCACTTGTCAAAATTGCTAGTTTTTTTTTAAGAAATTTGAAAATTGTACATTTCTTTATAAAGAAGGAGAGAAATAAAATGAAAATGTGATAGTTGTAAATTCCTTGTGATCCGCAACGTGGAAATTTATCAATAATAACAAAAAAAAATTAGTTTTTAATTTTAAAAATATCAATTTTTATAAAAACTTTCAATTCTGTCCAAAATCCCATTTAAATAGACAAAAATACCTTCAACTTATATGAATAATCAGTTGTTGATAAAAAGATTCTTTGTACTATAAGCTGTAATGGACAATACATGCATATTCGCATATATATATATATACACATATATGTATATATATTACTAGAACAAAAGGAGGACCGAAAAACAATAAAAATCCGCAAAAAAAAAACTACAAAGCAATTTGCAAATAATAATTTGTAGGAGAAGTGCATACTGATTTAGCCAGAACTACAACACTGCCGCATAGATTAGAAACTACAGAAGCAAAATATTTGATTTAATATTGTCCAGATTATTAGTACAATTAATCGACAATTTCCAAGCCAAGATAAGAAGAATAAAAACACAAACAAAGAAAAATTGGCATTTCAAATAGTAGCAATCACTGGTGTTCCAATTAAATATGGGATCATGTATAATATTGCCCAGATAATAAATAAGAAATCAACGGTGACAATTTTATAACACACAACTTTTTCTCCGTCTGCATTTTGTTTTCGTCTTTTGTCTTTTTGTACCTAGACGAATTGACACAATTACAGAGATATTTACATATGGAACTCCAAACCGTTAGCAAAGAACCAAAACTCAACGAAACCACATTTACGTATGAGTGAGGATCCTTGCGGATTCTCTTTGTAAGGATCTTGAAGATTCTTAAATCATATTTGTTTAGCGTACATAATGCGATTAAAAATCGTTATAAACTTTTTTATTTAAAATTGAATATAAACAGTACCTGATAAAAACTGATCACACGATGTAAACGATTTAATTAGAAGATCCTTAGAATCCTCACAAAAAAATCCAATCCTCTTTCTCTAGCCTTCCCAAAAATCAGTGAGATGAAAGAACAAAAAAACAAAGATACCGACTGAAACGTGGAAAGGAATTGATTAAAAAAAAAAAAAAAGGAGGAAAAATGCAAAAAATTAACTATCTACACTCATCCTTGTTTAGAGTTGCATAAGTTTCCAACAGCAGCCAATGCCTTCACTATGTCTCTACCATTTTTTAGGTTTTTTAGTTTATTTGGTTTTAAAATTTTGAGGTATTTGTCTCGATGTAAGTTTATATAAAAATTGACATTTTTGAAATTAGAGGCTTGGTATGCTTGATAAATACTCGTACAACGCGTCACTAGTCCGACTGTAATCGAGGGTCTCTCCCTCCCTCTCCAGCTCCAAATACTCTCTGCGGATCAGCGGAATTTTATTTTATTTTGTCTTCTAGAGTTTTGAGACAGAAAAGCTCTGAACTGAAGCTGAGAGAATTGTAATGGTGTGGTGGATTCCGTAAGGAGCTCCTGTACAGTAAATGGAAAACTCAGACTCTGACGAACCAGAGAAGAAGAGGCGTCATTTGAACTCCGTTTCCCCCACCATGGCCCGTAGCTCCTCCACCTCTCCGCCTAAGAACCACAGCGTAATCCCTCTCTCTCTCTCTCCCTCAACTGTCTGCTTGTTGCTTTTCTAATAAATTTTTGGGTTTGAGATCAAAGGTGTGTGATTGAAGGGTGATAAGAGTCATTGGGTGTGTTTAATTTCTGCTTTGGATTTGCGTTCGAGAATATTATCATTTCTGCTCTTCTCTGTTTGGTTGGGGAGAAAGTGTATGAAAAGGGGAATCCAATTGAAATTTTGGGATTAAGAGAAAAGGGTTTCTGTTTTAATAATGTTGTAATTTGGGGTAACAACAGCACGAGCACGGTTATGAGGTGAATTTCTAATTTTTGATGCAGCCATTTCTGGATATAGTATGATAATCCATGAATATACCCAGAGTTAGATGAGTGTACGTTTATGGTTCAATGTGCCTCAAATACACATTAATTTTGATTTGAAATAGGAAGCAGATTGAAGATATTTGTATGCGGTTTGTGTATGTATGTCCGTCCAGGTCGATGCAGCAGCTCTCCAGCTCCAGAACCAGCAACTTAATCAGCAGGTACACAAACAGAAGCTTGACTTGCAAGATCTTGAAGCGAAAATTCAGGAATTAAAGGATAAGCAAGGTTCTTATGATGATTTCTTAATCACAATGAATCAGCTATGGAATCAGGTTATCTCGTATGTTTGATTGGTTTCCTTCCCTTTCATAGTCTCTATTAGGTATACCAGGATGACATGCACTTTTTGCTGATGGCGGTTTCATTATTTTGCTCTTTAGTTGGTTGATGATCTAATTCTTCTTGGACTATGTGCTGGAGGAGCCCAAAATGCTTTAGAAATTTTAGATGGTGCTGATTATTCTTGTGGTATTTTCGAGCATGTCCAAATTTATGTTACTAAACCCAAGTTTTAGTTTTTTTTGTCTCATCGTATAAATTGGATTAACCTGAAGTTATTTGTAGGTTCAATTCCATCATGTTCTGCGGAAGAGATGTTTCTTTTTAGACTCCTACAACAAGATTCTCTAGAAGCTAATGTCAATGATGAAATTGTTAAATATGTTGAAGAAACTCTCGCTTTGCGGCATACATCTACTATGGACTTGTTAGAACTCTTAGAACATGCCATTTATGCTCATAGGGAAAAAACAATGAACATATCTCACACTTTGGATGGAAAGATATCTTCAGAAGGTCAGAGGTTCAATTTTATATTCGTAGTTGTACAAACTAATTTCGTAAGATCACATTTGTATTTTCTAACATGTTTTGAGGGAGTAAGTGCACCAGGGAATATGTATTGAATATAGATTGTCTTTTCTTTCTTGCTATTCTCAGATGCTATCATCCGGTTTTCCAAAATTGATGATATGATGGAAGGGGAGGTTAAAAAACTACGCGAAGGGATTGATTTTCTTCATCTGAAGCATAAAGAGTATACTGACGTAATTCGGACTTACATCAGCAGCCATTCAAGATATCAGTCTGAAATTAGGCGCATCACAGGTTTCTGAGATTGTTATTACGACAAGCCTCTGTTTTTTATGCACATGTCACTTGAAGTAAAGTTCATGGCAGCACGTGTAGAGATGCATCATCATATATATATATATATATATATATATATATATATATTCTTTTTTTTTTTTGTTTTTGGGCAAAACTTCATAATATTTGATACCTATATATTTTAGGATCTATGTTCAATTTGTGACAGAGCAAGTATCAAATTTTACCAAATTTTGGTATGCTGCCTTTTGAGTGTCTGTTGAACGTGTAAATTTTTTGTTATGGGTGACAGGTGAGCTGGATGACAAAATGGCTGACCTAGAGTTGAAGAGAAGGAAACTAATTAATCTGAAAATGCAAAAGGATGTTGGACCTGGGGTGCAGAACCGTACTTCTAGTGCACTTAATGGAACCCTGTCCCCTGAAAAATCAACAGAAAGGACAATCAGCTTGCAAGAACTTAGAAATTCAATTGAGGAAACAAGGGTATAGATGTGCTTCCAAACCTCCGTTGCACTGTCTTCCTTTCTCTTCTCCTTCTCTCTCTCTCTCTCATTCATCTTGATGTGTTTGAGCATTTGTTGCAGATACTAGAAGCCGACCGCCTTTCTGAGTATCAAGACGCACATGAAGAAAATTTAGTGCTGTCAAAACAATTGCAAGAATTTCAGATTTCTAATTTTAAATTCAAGTTTTGATAGTTGTTATTAATATTTTCAAAGATTTCATTGTCTGTTTATTTCTTTGATAAAAAAAGCTATATGTTGTCCCAGGATGAAGTGAAGGATGACAAATATGTACTTTCATCAAGACTGTACTCTATGCTAAATGATCAACTCCAACATTGGAATACAGAATTGGACCGATACAAAGCATTGACTGATTCTTTGCAGGTTAAAATGCTTGGTTTATGTGCAGATGTTTGGAATGCTTGCCCTATATTTTTTATGTTTTAAAAGTTTAATTTCAGGCTGACAGGACTCTTGTTGTGAGAAGGGAGAAGGACTTAAATGTCAAATTAGAGTTGGCAGATGCAATTAGGAATCCCATTGACAATTCTGATTCTAGGATTGAAGAACTAGAACTTCAGCTGCAGAAGTGTATAATTGCAAAAAATGACTTTGAGATAAACATGGAAGAAGCTGTCCAGGATTCAGGTAAAAGTGTTATAAGTTTGATATTGTTGATATTAACTGTTAATTTACCCAAGCTTGTGGCACTGAAAATGCTCTTTGCTGCAGGAAGAAAGGACATTATAGCAGAGTTTCGTGTGATGGCCTCATCTTTGTGTAAAGAAATGGGAATGGTGGAAACTCAGTTGAAGCGGTGGAAGGAAACAGCTCATGAAACACTTTGTTTATGTGATAAAGCCCAATCATTGAAAGCTTCATCAAGTACAAAGGTCTACTTCCATTCCCAGTTAACTCTCTCATACTCATATCAGTTGCACTGCTCTTTTTTCTATTTATTTTCTTGAAGGTGATGAATACAGATCAAGGGTACTTGTGCAATCCAGAAAGAAAGGGATATAATGATCTTTATGATTATGTTGCTTGAATCAAATTACACACACATGTATATATACACATACAATGTAATCATTTTTTTTCTTTCTGCAAGTTGGTTTTTTGGGAGAACTCCTTTCTGATCTTAAAGTAAAAGATTCTTATTAATGCTATCTGAATGGGTTTCTAATAGTTTTACAACTTCTACTTTATAGTTGTTACTGTTGATTAGTATTTAATTGTGGAATATTCACTGAATTTCTCGAATTCTTTGTTTTTGGAAGACAAATGAGCAAAAGATCCTTGTGGACAAGTGTGGTGAACAGGTGATAGAGATAAAGTCTCTTAAGGCATTGGTGAGATTCTCTATTAGTCTCGATTACCATTGCCTTCACTTCTATTGGATCCATGTTATTTGATTTTTTGACCATTTAAATATAGGATTTTCTTTTTTCAGCTTCATCAATGTTTTTGATATATACCTTTCTATGTTTCAGTTTATATCAACTCCTCTACATGTAGGTCCTTTGTATATCTGTGCCTGATGTTTGATTTTAATTCTATCCAATTTGAGAATTTAAGATTTCACTTTGACTGTATGAACCTGATAAATTACCCTGTATACTGTGTTTCTCAGTCAAATAAAGTTTGTTTATTAATTTTTGGCGGTTAAGAATTTTAATTCATTTTTTGCCTCATGAATGTTTTTGGAACTTTCAATTTAATTCTTCAGTTTGATCTTTAAGGCAATAATGCGGTGAATTATTTGTTTATATCCTTGTGGTAGTGTTGTCCAATTTGTTTTTTGAATTACTGTTTTTTTTTTCTTTCAGTTCGATCAATGGATTACTTATTTAAAAGGTCATAAATGTTGAAAACAAATATGTACGTACTTATGACCTAACAAGAAAATAGTTAGCAAGAAAATATGTAGATATCGGTAACCATTTAATAACATTTAAGTTCGAAGACACATGCACTGTCTCATAACCGAGCTCGTGTCAGTAATTGATGAAGATGTACTTATTGCAGATTGAGAAGTTGCAGAAGGAAAAACTGAAACTGAAATTGTTTCGTGAGTGCTACGTGGGGGCAATGTAGGGATTTTGTATAAAAGCATAAGCTTGTATATGTACATTTATTTGTTTTTCTTTTTCTCATACATTTTGGAGGGTTGATATTGTTTTTTTTTGGGGTAGACATAGAATGCAGTAATTTCTTCATTATATGATTCGTGGATTCGACTAATTCGTTTGACAGTTTTATTTTGAACTATTTTAGCTTTCGGTTATCTATTATAAACATCTTTACATTTCCTTGTGTGCTTCTCACATTCGTAAATGGATCTAGGTTATTTTCTATCAGTACATTTAAGATTTGAATTTTAAATTTCAGAGACTTGATGGAAATCAAGGAATCAGAACGCAGAGCTTACTCTCAAGCTGAAATGCTCAAGAATGCATTGGATGAACATAGTCTAGAGTTGAGGGTGAAAGCAGCCAATGAAGCAGAAGCTGCTTGTCAGCAAAGGCTTTCTGCTACCGAAGCTGAAATAACTGAATTAAGTGCCAAACTTGATGCATTAGAGCGGTTAGTTTTCTTGATTCCATTTTAGTTTTGAATATAGTAGCATACTGGTGGTTTATTATTATTATTATTTTATTTTTTTGAGCTTTCTCGTGTCTTATTTGCTCGGGCAATCTCTGTGTCTTTTTTTTGCTCTTCAACACTATCGACTCCTTTACAAAAAGAAGGGTAGTAGTTTGTTATTCTATTTCTAGATGCAGTGCTTTCACCGGACATTTGGCATAATTTGGAAAACATTACTAAAAATTTGTTCGTAGGTTAATTAATCTAAACGACCAGTAATTTCTTGCCATGTGTAAATTAGATGGCCTTTTGTTAGCCGATATATGTAGCATAGGAATGTTGAGATGACACACTGAGCTCAGTTGAACAGTGTATGTATTTAACTACCACTGAAGATGAAATTGTTTAATCAAGGCAAACTTGGGTGCTTTTGGTTTTGAAATTTAGGGTCCATATGGGACTGCTTTTGTAGAAAGGACTTTTGCTCATAAGTTCTTTTGCAAGAAGAGCTTTTATTAGAAGCATGTCAAAATTATTTTCAAAAAACCAAACAGGCCCGTAGTAGATGACACAATAGAGGTAGGATTATGTTATTCTATATTTATATTCAGTGTCCTTCTTGCCCCCTGTTACCAACAAACATTATGGACACGTTTCCTCTCTTTAGTAGCACACGGATCTCATTCAATTTCGCTTAGTAATATTTGTTTCTTTTGATTAAAGTACATTATTATTCTGTTTCGCGGCTGTTAGATAATCAGTTTGTTTTCTTTCACTAAAATAAAACCTGTAATGCTATGCGTCACCTTTATCTGCAGGGATGTTATGGAGCTTACTGAGGCTATTGGAATTAAAGACAAGGAGGCAGAGGCTTATATATCTGAAATTGAGGTGCGTATTTATGCTTATATCCTATTCATATCTGGAGTTTTCTTCCTTGATAATTTATACGATGATGTTGGCTCACTTTTCTGCTTCACCTACTCTTTATCTTTCTGATAAATTTATTGTTTTCCCGCAGACCATTGGTCAGGCATATGAGATATGCAGATGCAAAATCAGCATCTGTTGCAGCAGGTGACTGAGAGGGATGACTACAATATCAAGGTCTCTGTTAAGATTTTTGTGGCCTTCTTTCCCCCCACATTATTACTAAGTTTATTGGTGCGGTGGAATGGTGGCTCATTGTCCTTGGTTTTTAAATGGTTTTTTTGGTGGTGCAGCTTGTTTCTGAGAGTGTGAAGGCAAAGCAAGCACAGAGCTTTGTAGTCTCCGATAAGCAGGCATTGGCGAAGCAACTTCAACAAGTACATCATTAGAATCTCTAAAAATTAGAGTTTCCCATGGTGAAGAGCAGGTATGGTGACTCCTATGCAGAATCTTTTTCCATCTGTTAACCTTTATCAAGCGTGTGCTTTAATCTTGCAGATGAAGGCTCTCCTGACAGATGCCATAAAAACTACTGAGGAAGATAGGCAACTCGCAGTCAACGTGGAAACTGTCAAGTGGGAATTGGCTGATTCTGAGGAGTTGCAGTGGTTGAAATCTGCCTTTGCATCTTCTGAGAAGGAACATGTGCATATTGAAAAGGATATTGATGACGTCCGATTGGAATTAGAGAATGAGAGGTAATGTTTGTTCGTTTTAATTACAATGGAATTCATGGAATTTCTTAATCTTTGGCTACAATCTTATATGCAAGCTAGGAAGCTAATACAACTGTATATCTTCCCTGCTTGATCAGATTTTGCAAGTATGGAAATTCTTTATGCAGGATGTGTTTGTGCAGCTATTCGTTGTAATACTTGGTCATAAATGTAAGCTCTGAGAAGTTGGATTCTTGTTGTGCAGAAGCTCAAGGAAGAACCTTGAGGAAGAACTCGGGGAATTGAACAGCATAATTGCTGAGATGAGTTCTGAAACCGGAGAGGCTGCAATACAGAAACTCCAAACTGAAATAAAATTCTGCGAAAATATTTTGCAGTGCAGTGTTTGTACAGATAGGCCGAATGAGGTAAGGAAGATATTTGCCGCATATACCGTTCTCTAACCAGTGTTTCAGATACAAATTTGTTACCATCTCCTAAATCTTCCGGTGAACTGATGATGTTGGCTCTAATTATTTGATTGGCAGGTGGTAATCGTCAAGTGCTATCATCTATTTTGCAATTACTGCGTTCAAAAAAATCTAGAGATACGTCATCGAAAGTGTCCTGCCTGTGGAACTCCGTTTGGTCAAATTGACATCCGGTTTGTAAAGATATGAAGAGAAGAGTTTCCGATATCCTGTATTTATGACCCTCTCTCGGCCCGCCTACCCTTTTTGATCGCCAAGTATCTTGTATTAAACGGCATAGATTGTAGTTTTTCTTGCCGCGGTAGTCCCACGTCGGAACTGTGGCTTTAGTTGTATAGGTTTTGTTCTGTAAATGCGTTCGTTTCGTTTCATGTTTCAGTATTTGTTATCCGTTATCCATTATTTCCGAATAACGTAGTTGAAAAGTAAGACAAAAGTGAAGAGGAAAGGCATAATGTTAATTGCATGTGCCAGAAATTCTTTCCCTTTTTATTTATATTCTCTCTTCAATTCTTCTCCCTTCCGTCCATCCTTATTTGAACGGTTATAATTAAGTCATGTCTGCATGCACGAATCAAGAATTTAATGAACAAATATCCAACCTCGAAAGATCCCATATTATATTTTATACTACGGAAATATGAATACTAGAAAATTCACAAAAAACAAGTAAAAATGTTGAAAATCAATCAAAATTAAACGTTAATCATGTAGTAATAAAAAAAATTGACGATATAACAATCATATACCAGTAGTACACTGAAAAAATATCATGTCAATAATTAAGATTTCGAAAATGAGAGATTTTGGAGTAATAAATATAGGGGGTCGGTACGACAACGTTTTCCCGCATCACACATTGCCCAAACTCCCCATACAAATCTTGACCTCTTCCTCCGGCACTCTCATCAATTCTCATCACTGTATATTTCTGTAATCGAAGAAACATGCTTTTTTCTCTAGTCCAAACCACCTTAGCATCATCCCCTTCTTTCCACTCCTCACACTTTCAGATTCTCAACAATCCCACTGCTGCGCCGCCCAAATCTCCCTTTCTTGGTCTTGGATTTGAACCCATAACAAATCCCCTCAAAAGCTCGCATTCTTACACAAACCCCAGAAATCCCAAGCTCAGAATCCATGCTTCTCTGCTTGAAGCTCCGGTCCTCTGGGCTGGCAGGCTCTGCATCTTCTATGCTCTCTTGAAGACTGGTTTGGCTGGATCTCCAGCTAGTCCACTTCTGTCAGGTATACTTCTTTGATGGGTTGTTTCTATTTTTCTTGGTTATTCAGTATATGGATTGTTTACCAATTATTTAAGTTTCAGAAATAATGGGTTGCTCCTGAAATTTTGATTTGTGTTTTTCTTGATAAAGTTTCAGAAGTAATGGGTTGTTTCTGTTTTCCTTGGTTGGCTTTTAAGTTTTAAAAAGCTTTGATGGCCTTTTTGTGTTCATTATTTTACTTGGTTTTCAGATTTGGGAAGAGTTGAAGGTGAAGAAGGTGATGGGGTTGTTAGTGGGTCTGTTGATTTGGGGTTCTCTAAGTGGTTGAACAGCATTCAAGGGAAACCAGGTTTGTTTCTTTGTTTGACAGAATGACATTTTGTTGCATTAATATAACTTGGGTTGCAGATAAAACTTGGGAAATTAAGATTTAAAGTATGTTTAGTATGTGAAAGGTAGGAAAAGAAAAGTAGAGCTCTTTCCTCTCAGTTTCTAACTGAAGAATGAAGATGCGAAGAGAACGATAAATTTGCTCGCAGGATATACCCGTTTGATAAGCATTTAAGCACGGGACTAACAACATTTATATGGTTAAATGGTCAATGATGAGTTTTGTTTTTAAGGCTAGCATGAGGTTCCAATGCTTCTGTTCCATGAGGATTATGAATATCTAAGGGACACATGATTTTCATAGTATGTAATTAGTTTTCAGCATCATTCATTGTGATTAATTAACTGGGTTGCTGTGCTAGCCGCCGCCCTTGGCATGTTCTAGCTTCTGTTACAAGATGGGTTACACTGAATATCTAGGACGAATGAAGTAAAAAATTGATGGATTGCTATTTGCCTTGGTTATTTAAAGAAAAAGAATTGATAGAGATTGGCATTTTATGGTGTTTGCATATCGGAAAGACAATGACCAGGCCAAAGAAAAATAAAAAAGATAGTGAATGAGGAAGAATGGATATGTGGTTCTATCCTCAAGGCTATCGAGGAGCGGGAAGAATACTGGCATTTATTATATTTCTGTTAATGTTGTTGAAAGGCCCAAAGCACATCAGAACAAAGTCTTTGTTTAATGAGGTTTGCTATTGATGAAAAAAGTTCCTCTTGTTCTGCGGTTATGGAGTGATAGAACAGGGGGTTTGCCTATATCACCTCCTGAATTGGTACTAACAGATACGCTCAACCATGATGGACCAAAATGTGTTCACATGCCACAATGAATTGTTGATTACCTACTCGGAACAATATTTATGAAAAGTTGTTTTGTTATTATAAAAGGTTTTTGGCTGAGAAACTCTAGTTGTTGTGTTCTGCTTGAAGGTAATGATTCTTGGCTTTTGTAAATATAAATTTTTGGGCTATGTATTTGTTTATTTTCACTTCACAAATTTTTCATTTAGAGCTTCACTTTACTTTTATCATCATCGTGCTTATTATAAATATGCTGTAAACCCCCGACTGTTGATTTGTTTTATCAGCAAAAGAAGCTGCTGATAAAAGGAAATTAGTAAGCAAATGGCATCCTACAACAAAGGGCACACTCAGAAGGAACTACAGGGTACCATCTAAATCTGAAGGGCGTCGTCTTCTGAAGGGTATTGCTTCCTTACTGTCAGACGACGATCACTTTGTAGATGCAACCTCCCACAAGGTAATTACAACTGTGGGGAGCAACTTTGAGGAAACTTTTTTCAATTTCTTTTCCTCTTCCAATTTGGTTGATATTTTTTATATTTTCTTTAGTTTTTTCTTAGTCAAATTCTTAATAGCGGTGATCAGAAAGCCATCTAATCTCACTTGTCCCGAATTCTTCGGGCCTTCATAGGGTTGTCAGATCAGGAGGGAGACCGCTCATGGAGAAAGTGTCTGTTGCAACAATGTGAGGGCTCTGTTTGATGAGCTTCCAACTCCGCACCTAGTTGTGGAGATCACTCCTTTTCCGGCTGGCTCTCTTACAGAAAATGATTACACTAAAGCCGAGAAATTAGAGAGGGTGCTAAGATCAGGTCCTCATGTTTGAGTAACCTTGAACTTTTCATGCTTTGAGTTGTGTATTCACTGTCTACCTCTGTACATAGCAATCTCATGAAAAAGGAAACTTATTTTCTTCCATGCTCCTGTCTCTTTAACTCACTCTAGTGCATAACCGTTATTAGCAATCAGTTTACAGGTTGCTAAAACAATCTTAAGCTTGTTTGTGGTTGTTTCTATAGGAAGCGCTTATGCTAGAATACTTTTATTGGAAACTCTTTGACATTTATATAAAAATTTAAATGCTTCGTGAAAAGCAGGTGTAACCGTGTAAGTGCTCGCCGAAGAAGGATTTGACAAGTGCTTCCACATAAAGTGCTTTTATAACCCAGCACTTTTTAATTATTTTATGTCAAACACAAATTAGGTTATTAGGAAGTGATTTTAGCTCTTTCAATAGATGAATGGTGTCGTCTGATTGATTACTTGGAACAGAAGCAATCAAGGATTGTTGGGTTTAGAAGATGATGGACCTTCTAAACGAATACAACGTACGTAATTCGTTGGAAAGGACTGACACTACTTTCTCTAGTGAGGAAAATGGCATTGTTCCCTGGCACCAGCTGAGCCCCCGGAATGTCGACGCTGTACAACCTATACAGCCCATGAATTCCATGCCTTGCGATTGTGTTCTCTCTTCCAATCAGTCCAGTAGAAAATAAAGGTTGACCTCTTGTTACTGGGTCATTGGTCCGAACCTTTGAATAGTCGGAGGAAAGTTTCGTGAGCTGTACTCATTTTAGACAATTTAACATGTTATTTTGTCGGACTGCGTCAATTTAAACCGATGCTCAAATGGATTCTTGTTTGAATGTAATATTGAGATGAACAAACATTATATGCTATGTGTGACTGAAGGAAATATTTTGCAAAGTTGTAGGATTTACTCATTCTTAGACTTCATTTAAAACTTAGCATAAAATTTAGGAAATAATACAGTAGGATATATGATTCAAAAAGTAAATTAGGCTTAGAATTACTTAGATGATGAGTGCTTTCAACACCTTTCTTAAAGAATCCTCTCCTTGGCAAAGTCACATTGATGTTGATAACATGTTTTTTTTTATTTTTTTATTTTTTTTTATTTTAAGTACATAATGAGCAACCGAACTTGGTATCGAATTCTCTATTTACGAGATTTGAACGTAAGACCTCTCACTTACAAGTGAAGAGAGGAATATCACGAGACCGTAATAGAGGTTCAGCTATTTGTGAAATAAAATAATTAGAGTGAGGGACATCTATAGAGAGAAGGGGCTCAGCTGTTTGTAGATGCATATTTTTCGCTTGGCCTTATGCATTTATTTATACAAATCATATAACCCAAAGTAATACAAGCCATAAAGTTAAAATATCCTAGATCTTATTGGATCCAAGCGCTCGCTACCACATAGAAACTATCCCACTAGCTGATCGTTAAAAAAATTCAGCGTTTTTGCAAGTGGGATTACAAGGGTAAGGGCAATCGATCTTTCTGAACGGAGTGAGGTCGTAATACCAGTCTCCAACAGCCTCTGCAATTGTCTGCATAACACAATAACACGTTCAAGACGAGTTCAGTTTTTCACATTAAAACCGAATGAAACCACGATTGAGTGCAGATCACGGTACTCAATCTTACCGTCTTACTCAACATAGGAGAGTCAGCTGCAAGCCATGTCTCCTGGATTTCAATTTGGCAATGGGCATAGCAAGAGTGTATGAACCACCCATGAGATGAAGAATTGCTCGCACCAGCAATCGTTTTTAAGAACTGTAACCTAAATTCTGAAACATATTCCAGACGAAAAGACAAGTCAATTTTCGAAGCAGACAGCTTTTTTTTTTCTTTTTTTTTTTCAATGCTGCAACGTATCAAAACGATTTCTTGGTAAGGTCCAAAGAAGCTTCTATGGGAACTCGTAGACAGCGAGGAGTTTTAAGTTGCTTATTATCATCTTAAACACTAAAGTAAACAAGCTGCTGGTATGAAGTGGAGGAGGGTTTTGATATACCTTGCATGGTTTGAAGCTGACTGGGTGAGCAGTTCTTTATATTAAGCTTGCACTTTTTCCAGGCACCTTCAGGATCAGCAACATCCGGTGCCAAAATGTTCTGTATCTGAGTGGATACAACAATGAATCACAAAAAAAAAAAAAAAAAAAAATGCACGCTAACGGACTCTCCGAATGTGGAAAAAGAGAACTAGTAATTGTTGATTGTTAGCAAATTTAGAGAACTATGGAGTAGGTTGTGCTAAGAAATTAGAATAAAATGGAAAGTACAGGACGCATTCAAGAAATAAGAGAAACAGCTAACCTGCCACCAATCGTAAGCTGCATTGACGAAAAATATTGGCGTCCGGGTTAGTGGTACCACATTTTGTGGGAAGAAGCACTGCAATATTTTAGTGCGAAATATCAGAAGTAATAAGGATAGAGCGAATAGCAAAACCATGCAAGAGTATAAACACATACCAGCCCTGGACTCATTCTTGAAGTGCAGGATGCAGGCAAGTTCTTCACCGAACCCTGCACAAAACATAGATTATCAGAATTAATTAGAACCCAACACTTATCACATGCACAGAACGGAGGCTTGAGAGAGAGAGAGAGAGAGAGAGTACATGTAGCGCAACCACTTCACTATAAAAGGCTTGAATGTATGGTGATCCAGACACCGTCCTCCTGTTAGTCATTATAGTCTAGGGTTTTAGAAACTAGAAACGTTTATAAAAATAAAATATGTTAGGTCAAGCTTTCATGATTAAAGTATGTGCTTAGTGCTTACGCATTAATGAAGTAACCAGCATCTGGTACACATTTCACCTTAGTATCCACAGGTAGAAGAGAACGGAAGTTATCACAATGAAGAATCGAGGCCAATCCGCCAGCCGAACAACCAGATAGAAGAGCCTGTAATCAAAAGTGGTACGAATGAGCTATCGGCAGTGAGGACAGAATGAAAAAAGCAGACAGTTGGTAGAATGGGCCATACAGATTGAGCATTTTTCATTCCTTTTGCCAATAAATCATCCATGATGGCACGGAAAACCCTTGCTCCTCTGAAGTGAAGATTTGTTGCCTGATCAAATTAGTTTGATTAGAAACATGCCAAGTGATTGGAAAGCGGAGGGTTAAGGAGGTGCATTAGACACCAGGTTTAGACTTGTATCAATGCAAAACATGGGTTGCTCATTAACTGAAACTTACAGGGTCTACCGCTTCAACATCACCAGTAAATGACGAGCCATCACAGTATCTAACTTTGATTCTATTCCAATTGTAGAAGTCTAGCATTGAAAAGAAAAATGATTTTACCGTAGCGAAAAGAAAATGATAGGTATGTTCATCACTATTGAGTAATTCTTAAGATCTATATGCTTGTTTAAACATACCAAACCTTCAAAGCAAGGCAAACACATTAATTGAAATACACAAAGCTATTGATGAGGTATAAAATCTACCGAACCTGGATTAGCCTTTTGCTCGTTACTAAGAACCCCAGAAAACGACATTGTCTTTTCCATTTTGGTTGATGAACCGAGGAAATTATTCGAGCGATCAAGGCAAGTTGCAACGGTGTTACACCATCCTCCACCCTAATAACGAAATATCAATGGAAGAAAAATAAACTTTAATGCAAAATTTAATAATTACTAAGCTTACTGAGTTAATTAATCATACACCTAGATGCATGGACAAGAGAAAAAGGTTTGTGACACAAGAACTCCGAATTCGGGAACTATTTTAGCATGATAGGGGAGACACAAACCTCAAAATAAACCAACCAATTGTTGATTCCGGCACCAAATCCCTTGTCTAAGTGGTAAGCGGGTGCGCTCCCATCCAAACAAACTGCATAGCATGTCATATTTAGAAACAGCGCAAAAAAAAAACTCAACAGAAACAGACATGGTCACATGGTGCACTAGTTTTTCTCACCAGCTCCTTTAGCAACTGCACTCTCGACAAGAGTGATTCCCACAAGGTGGCTTTCTGCTTTCAGCAATATCAGTAAACATACTAGAAGAGTTAACCATTGGCCTAATCTTGAACAGGCCATTCTGCAGATACAATTTTTCAGCAATTAATATACAGAGCATTTGGCAGCTTTTCTTCACTGAAAAATCTGTGTCTAAATCTAATAAAGAATCCCTCTCTATACAGTCTGTGTATATATTTGTCAAAGGAATCCTCCGTCATGGGCGGTAATCCGACTACATTTAGCCGAAAACAAATCCTTCCAAACTGGTTTGGGCAACCAAAATCTTACCCTTGATCTTTCGTACAGTCAAAAGATCCAATTCCATCAGAGATTCAGAACCAAGACCATGAATCTTCATTCATTCAATGGATATAATACAAATTTTAACAAGGATATAGTAAGAGAAAAAAGTATAAATAAAAAATAAAGAAACAGTGCAAAGATTTACACATTGCATAATCATCAATTACAAATCATAGATTACATAATATTACTAACAAAATATATGAAACTGCAATACTATTATTCTTCGTTTTGGAATCCATTGTCTAACCAAAGCGATGAGTGACAACAACCCCACTTAGTACGATAGGTCTTGGTTGTTGTTGTAAGCTCAATTAGCTTGATGGGGTTTTATGAAAAAAAACAGAAACCAAATTTCAAACTTTGATTGAGCTTCTATAAATACATGTCTTATTATACTCCAGTACAAACCACCAAGGTCAGTCCTAAGATTTTTGAGGCTCAGGACGACGTCAAAAAAAGTGTCATAACTTCATATAAGAAAATTATTTGTTTACATACGTGAGACTTCGATAAATTATATTTAGAAAAGCACTTCAAACTTAATAATTTCGAAACACGGAAAAACTAATTTATTTTGTATCAAGATAAGGGAACTAAAAATCACAGGCTTATAAGTAGATAGATTATGAGTTTTGTTTTCCTTCTATATGAACTTTTAAAGTGTACTATATAATTCGTGATGTGTTTTTTTTCTTCTTATTTACTAACCTTGGCAATATGGGACTAAAAAAATAATGATATTTTCAAGTCTTTAATTGATATGTATAAGCAATGAACGAGCACTAAAAAAAACCTATTAGCGACACATCATATAATTTGCAAATTTGGTCTATGCATTACTCTTTGTTGAAGGTTAGACTTGAATTGAAACGAATGTTTAAAAACTGCGATCCACATAGCTACTAGCTAGGAATAAAAAGAATTAACAACCAAATAGAGAATCGTGAAAATTGAAAAGAATAAACAAAAACCATTGCATTTTGAACTTCGACCCTCTCGTTAATTTTAAACAACAAAAACCATTGCTTATGATTGACTCTCTTGATCATTTAGCCAAATTTCATAAATTTAAACTCTTCTGAAAAAAAATTGTAAAAGTTGGAAAGTTGAAAAAAAACACACCTAATGCTTCGAACCCGGGACATCCTTGTCAATTTTAAACAACACAACCACCAGTCATGGTGTGTTGAACAGTGAACCCAAGAACTCCTTATTAATTTCAAACAATGGAAGCCACCAATTCTAGTTAAATCTCTTTGTCAATTAACCAAATTTAAAAAATTTGTACTCTTATAAAAATATAGGGTAAAGTACAAAAAACTACCTCAACTATTGCGGTCATGACAGTTTCATACCTCATCTTTTAAAATTGACAATGTCATACCGTATCTTACGAATTTGTGACAATGTCATACCTCCGTCAATTTTTCTGTTAGTTTTTCTGTTAAATGCTGACGTGGCAATAGACGGGGACCACTTTCTATTAAAAAATTAATAAAATATTATTAAAAACTAAAAAAAAATACTTAATATTTTTTAAATATTAAAATAATAAATAAAAGTAAAATTAAAAAAAAGGGTAAAGTACAAAAAACTACCTCAACTATTGGAGTCACGACAGTTTCATACCTTATCTTTTAAAATTTACAATGTTATACCGCATCTTACAAATTTGTGACAATGTCATACCTCCGTCAATTTTTCTGTTAAGTTCTGACATGGCTTGATTGGGGACATACTTTCTATTAAAAAATTATTAAAAATTAAAAAACAATTATTTAATATTTTTTAAATATTAAAATAATAATAAAAGCAGAGAAAAAAAAACCATCAGTTTGTCCCTCCCCTCCCCCTCCCCCTCCTCTCTCTTCTCCCCATCTTCATTTTCTTCCCCCAACTTGCAAACCCAAAAAAATAAAAAAATAAAAAAATTTTGAAAACCCAACAACCCCCCTGCAAAAGAACAAGAAGGAGGAGGAGGAGGAGGAGGAGGAGGAAGAAGAAGAAGAAGAAGAAGAAGAAGAAGAGGAAAAAAAAGGAGAAAGGAAAAAAAAATTCCCCCTATCGGCGCGGAAGAAGAAGAAGGGAGAAGGAGAAGGAGGAAGAAGAAGAAGAGGAAGAAAAAATAAAAAGCAAATTTGAAAACCCATCAACACCCCCCTCTGCGGAAGAAGAAGAAGGAGAAGGAGAAGGAGAAGGAGGAGGAAGAAGAAAAAGAGGAAAAAAAGGAGGAAGGAAATTTAAAAAAAAAAAAAAAAAAAAAAACCATCAACTCCCCTGCGGAAGAAGAAGGAAGAAGAAGAAGAAGGAAAAAAAAAATATTTTTTTTGAAAACCCATCAAACCCCAAATCCACCACTTTCATCCATTTTTCACATCCTCTTCCGCACCCATCCTCCACCTTCTTTGTGCACCCATCTTCCCACCGACGAGATCTGAGTTTTTTTTTTTTTTTTTTCTTTCTAGGTTGCAGGAGGGAGAAGAGTGTGGGTGTGGGGAAATTGAGTGCGAGTGTGGGGGGAAGACAAATTGGATTTATATTTTCTTTTTTTGTTGGGGTTTGCAAGTGGGGGAAGAAGATGAAGAAAGGGAGAGGAGAGAGGAGGGAGGAGGGAGGAGGGAGGAGGGGGGAGGGAAGGGACGAAATGAGGGTTTTTTTTTTTTGGCCTTTTATTATTATTTTAATATTTAAAAAATATTAAATAATTATTTTTTAGTTTTTAATAATTTATTAATAGAAAGTAGGTCACGAATCAAGCCATGTCAGCACTTAACAGAAAAAATAACAAAAAAATTGACAGAGGTATGACATTGTCACAAATTCATAAGATGTGTTATGACATTGTCAATTTTAAAAGATGAGGTATGAAACTGTCGTGATCCCAATAGTTGAGGTAGTTTTTTGTACTTTACACTTTTTTTTTTAATTTTACTTTTATTTATTATTTTAATATTTAAAAAATATTAAATTTTTTTTTTTAGTTTTTAATAATATTTTATTAATTTTTTAATAGAAAGTGATCCCCGTCTATTGCCATGTCAGCATTTAACAGAAAAACTAACAGAAAAATTGACGGAGGTATGACATTGTCACAAATTCGTAAGATGCGGTATGACATTGTCAATTTTACAAGATGAGGTATGAAATTGTCATGACCGCAATAGTTGAGGTAGTTTTTTGTACTTTACCCAAAAATATATATGAATATACAACTCTAAAAATTTTGGTGCCTCTAATTTTTGTATGCCCCAGACGGTCGCCTGGCCCGTACTGGGCCTGAGTACCACCAACTTATATTACACAAATGAACATAAACTGAATCAAAGTTTTGATTTCATAAGAACACCAAGTGATAAAAGGAAACTAATATAGGACAGATTTATCTGTTTAAAATAATATAAATTAAAAATATACCTAAAAAAAAAATAGCATTGCACCGTAGTCTGCACCTGATAATAGGGAATAATCTGAAGGCTGTTGAATGCTTGAGCTTCTTATTCCAAATATAAATATAGATATATAGATGTGTGTGCGCGCGTATATATAGATGTATATGTATATATATAGATGCGTGTGTGTGTGTGTATGTGTGGTGTAAGTCTTTATCGTTCCGAGCAATATTAAAAATATGATATTTTATTGTTAAGTCAACGACGTGTAAGTTACTTAAAAACACGAGTCAATGTACGCGTCATACAATATAGTCAAAAATCATAAACTTCTTTCTTAAATTTCAAATCAGAAACTTCTTTCTTAAATTCCAATTTATTATGCATGCATCTCGACCACACATGGTGGAAAATTTATTTGGAAGAGAATGCATGATTTGAAAAGGGCACATGGGTGGAGGCATATAAAAGATGATGGAATTGTGATGAGATAGGAGGCCTGGTGACTACTTGATAAGCTTAGACTTTTATTGTTCAAACAAAAAAAAAGTTAAAAACTTTTATTTGTTTGAAAACTCAAGGATAGCCATCTGAAGGATAGGCTTTAGCCTATGGATACGACTTCGCATTTTTACTCAAAAACTGTGGGCTAACCTTCATGTCCAAAATGCAAGCCCTCCAGCCCTCGCAGCGTTCGTCCTTTGAGAGAAAGATCAAAGCAGGAGGCAAGAAGCGACAGTTCTTGTCGCGTCATCCTGAGAGAACGTGAAGTTTTTCCCCTGTTGCTTTCGACTCGTCGTTTGTTTCAGAGGGCAGGGACAGATCTAACCAAAGCACATATGCTTGGCCTACCTCAGGGTGCACCCTGCACAGGTGGCGCCAGTATTGCCTCCCGGATATGCGTTCATTGCACCTCCTAGGGCTTAAAAGGAAGCAGAACGTCCCCTTCTCTGCAGTTTCAAGACTTTGCCTTCACGTTCTTGCTGATAACATGTTGTGAAATAAAACAATTAGAGAGAGAGAGCAAGAGACGACCGGAGAGAGATGGGGTCAGCTGTTTGTGAGAGATGTATTTTTCACTTGTCCTTGTGTCTTTATTTATACTAATCATAGATAGGGTTTTACGTAATCCAAAGTCATAATAAGATAAGATGTCTTAAATCTTATGGAATTCTACATTCAGTTTACACAATCACACTCCTAGAATACCTTTATTCGCAACACTATACAAGATGCTCGGTACCACTTTCAAATCAAAGCTCAAATGAATAAATATTACCGAGAACCATAAGTACGTAGGCTATTACATCAATGTAATGTTCACAGCTTATATAGCTCATAAAAACTATATTTTCGACACAAAGAAATTAATCTTCCTGATCGTTTGAGTCAAATTCACGGTTTTTGCAAGTGGGATTGCAAGGGTAAGGGCAATCAATCTTTTTGAACGCAGTGCGGTCGTAATACCAGTCTCCAACTGCCTTTGCAATTGTCTGCATAACACAGTAAACACGTTACAAAAAACTAAAAACAAGTTACAGTTTTTCACGTTCAAACTGAATGAAAACCGAGATTTGAGTGCAGATCACGGTACTCTTACCGTCTTGCTCAACATAGGAGAGTCAGCTGCCAGCCATGTCTCCTGCGTTCCAATTTGGCAGTGGGCAAAGCAAGAATCTATGAACACGCCATGAGATGCAGAATTGCTTGCACCGGCAATTGTTTTTAAGAACTGTAACCTATATTCTGAAACATATTCCAAGACGAAAAGACAAGTCAATTTTCCAGCAGACGGTTTTATTTTTTATAATTCTGCAACATGTCAAAAACGTGAACAAGCTGCTGGTATGAAGTGAAGGAGGGTTATGAAATACCTTGCATGGTTTGAAGTTGACTGGGCGAGCAGTTCTTTATATTAAGCTTGCACTTTTTCCAGGCACCCTTAGGATCAGCAACACCCGGTGCCAAAATTTTCAAAATCTAATTCAAGCCACTCATTGATCCAACGACTGCAAGTACATATACGCATCAATGTGCAAGAGACACGAACAGAAGTTTGAGTTATCGAAAATGGAATTGAGATTGTTTTAGTAGGTAAGTTAGAGACAACAAATTGTGTCAAAAATAAAATGTGGTGAACTGAGACAACATGACAGAAAATGACAATTTCGTTGAGACAAAACCATTTCAAGATATAAGTGAGATTAAATGACACTTTCAAGGCAAATCAATTACATAAGCCGTAGTGTAAATTATTCGTTTACAATGAGAGAGATACGAATCCTCTGCATGTTTTTTACGTACAAGACTATACACGACTTATCTTACCGTTTAAAATAATCCAAAGGTTATAAATGTGCCACGTATTTAATGTTCCAGTTTTATAACTTTTTTCTCGGCTTGATAACCTTTCCCCACCCAAATCCCTTGGCTTCTCTGAAGTGCGGCAAGATCGTACGGCTGTCGTCGCCTCCGCCGACCCCTCCTTCCCTCCTCCGTCGTCAGTCGTCACTCACACCACCTTTGCTGTCGCTCCTTATCCATCAAACCACGTGAATGATCCAGCATGGTAACAAGTTAACAATGCTGTGACTTTCCACCATGGTTCTGCGATGGATTTATCCATGGATGACTCATAAATTTCTTCAATATTCGTGGATGCATGCAGCAGGAGGCAGGAGGCAGGAGGTGTGGGGAACAAAACTGGAATATTTGATACGTGGCACATCGATAACCTTTCGATTCTTTTGGACGGTGTGGATTAAAAGTCATGCATAGTCTTGTGGGGTAAAACATGCAGAGGATCCCAATTCATTCGCTTAACCCGTATGTTGAATATTGTAGTGTTTGCCTTGGTCTATTTAAAATCTTTTCTTTCTTTTTTTTTTTTTGTTTTTTTGAGAACAAAAGAGATTGGGGGATGCAATACGAGGATTTTTCAGAAGATCACATATCCTAGTATTACTCTCGACCAAACTCACTTAATTTTGAAATTCTAATAAAATTCGATGCATGCGAGTTGATATGATCGCATCATCTTACCTATTTCTGTCAGTCACTTGACATGAATTCCGCACACTGATCTATCCACTTTTTCTTCTTTTTTTGGTACGATTGGAAATCGTACCAACTCCTGACCGGCATCCTCCTACACGTGTATGGTCTTTTTATATTAGATTATATCTTGTAATTTATTTTTTTTAAATAACTATTTTATATTTTTATGAAAAAATTATTCAAAAAAAAAAAATGAAGCTAAACAATGAAACCACCCACTAATATGGGAGTTTTTTTTTTAATTAAAGTTTTAAATTCAAAATTCATTCAAAATTAAAATGTGGTGAATTACTTTAAATTCTTATGGTTCAATTGTAATTTTTACAATTCTTGAAGGACAATTTTTGGTATTTTAAATGTTTCACCTTTTTATCCTTCTCAGTTTTTATATATATAGGCTCATATCGTCCTGCCATGATGTTAAAGATTGGATGACAACCGATTAGACTCCTCCCAAAACCCAATTTATAGACCAGATTGAGGTTTTTTTTTAAGCAAATGACTCGCTTACCCTCATTTTTTGTTCATTCATTTTGTTTACGGGTTTTTTTTTTAAATTTTGTTGGTGGTGGTAGATCGGTAATGGCGGCGCAACTAGTGTGATGGAGTCTGCATTCTTTCACATTTAAAATTTTTGTTGTTGTAGGTTTGTGCTTTTTATTGTATTTACTTTTAAATTATGCTTGTATTTGAATTGTGTTTAAACATTCTATTTCTTGTATTAAATTTTTTAAATTAATGAAAGTTACCAGTTTGCCAAAGAAAAATACCAAACTGTGGAAAGCCGAATTCGGCAGTCACATGGAGTCGCGCAATAGTGAAAGGAAAATGAGGGTTTTGGGCAGCCTCCAACCTGATGCAAGTCTCAAGATATCTAGTGATGCTGCTCCGTGTCAAACTCCATATTTTTTGTAGGTTACAATTTCAAAGTACCCTTCTTTTGGTAGGACTTGATACCTTATTTTCATGTAAAGATTATCGGTAAAAAGGGGGCCGCAAATCCACATCTAGATCGAACCAACGACAAACACACAAATGTCAAGTTAAAAACATGCAAACATAATAAACATGTATCTGGAATAATATTCTAATGGACAAGGTGTTAGATTTCCAATCATGTAATCAGGGTTTGAAACTCGCATATTTTTTAAATTATTGTAATAGTTTCGAATTTTACATCATTCCCTTAATAATAATAAATTTTTTGAAAAAGGAAGAAAAGAAAATATCAAGTATCAAGAATTAATACAGGCAAGTGATTTCCATAAAAAAACGAAACCAAATCATTCAACTTAGTTGTGATTTGGATCAGTTCCATGTGATGCCTGTACGATGGTTTAGCCTATTGAGAAAGACAAGACCATAGCTAACGGCCACTGAGTTGGAGAGTGGGACATCATCGGTGGTTGTGGAGCTTGAACGTTACACGTGATTGGTGGTGATCAGTGGGTGTGGAGCGTTTTGAATGTTCACCATGTGTTTATACCCCAATTTACAAATTCCTATCTAATTGATTATAAGCTATAATGTAGCGGTACAAATCAAGGTGAAAAGGATATCATAAAAAAATTATAAGGAAAACTAATGAAAATGGCTTGAAAACTTTGAATTTTAATCAAAAGTACAAAAATTTGTTGTAAGTGAATAGTACCAGAAGTGACTCTTTAGAGTAAAAACGTCATTTTCCTTAAAAGTGAACAGTATAGGAAGTGTTTCGTTAAAACTCCCAAAATCATATCCACAATTTAATTGATTCAAAGCACTTTTGATGCGAATAAAGATGATGGACACAATCAAGGCTAGCTGATGGGTTTGGACTTGAAATTCACATTTTTGATTGAGTTAATATTAGTACCCGATTTTGCATGTACTCGGCCCATATACTCTAAGTTCCTTTTTTTTTTTTTGGAAACAAAATATATTTACACTAATGGGGAGGGAGTGGGCTTTGCCTCACAATGGGCTAGCAATAATGTAGTTCAAATTCACTTTTAGCGATAAACTAACCTAAGATGTGAAATCCCGTCCCCAGATTTCACTATTTAAAATTATGTATTTCGTATTCTTAGTTTTGACGTGTTTATAATTCTGGCGTATAGGTTTTTTTCGATAAGTAGAAGGACAAATATGCCCTTAATGAACTAAACGGACTTTTCGAGGACTTATTTAATTCCTATGAGTTTTGTCACTTTTATTTACATATTTGGATAGAGCTCAACCTCATGAGTGTGTAGGCGAAAACCCTTCGCCAAACAGAGCTATAACGAATAAGATATAAGTGAGCAAAGATAGGCGAACTGGTCATTTGATCATTATCTGGAAGGCTCCCAGATTTGCTGGAGCACAATTTAGGTGCCATGTGTATTACTGAGATGGGAATAAGAGAATAGAAAGGAAGGGAGAAACTGGCCAATTAGAAAGGAGAGAAAGGAGGGAAAGGAAGAAAGGGAGAGAGGAGATGAGCACCGGACCCCATTGACTCGCTGACCCGACCCGATTTCCTTCGACTCCTCCAACGATTTTTCTTGCAAACCATGTTAAACAACCACCTAGAAAACACTCGTTAAGTTCGACTAAGCCACACAATGAGCAACCTAACTTGGTATCAAATTCTTTATCTACGAGATTTGAATGTAAGACCTCTCACTTACAAGTGAAGAGAGGAATATCACGAGACGGAATATCACGAGACCGTAATAGAGGTTCAGCTATTTGTGAAATAAAATAATTAGAGCGAGGGACATCTATAGAGAGAAGGGGCTCAGCTGTTTGCAGATGCATATTTTTCGCTTGGCCTTATGCATTTATTTATACAAATCATATAACCCAAAGTAATACAAGCCATAAAGGTTAAAATATCCTAGATCTTATTGGATCCAAGACGCTCGCTACCACATAGAAACTATCCCACTAGCTGATCGTTAAAAACCAAATTAAGCGTTTTTGCAAGTGGGATTACAAGGGTA